TCACTTCGCACTTCGCAATAGGAATTTGATTTTGGATAATCTTATTAATACCATCTTTTTTCAGGCCAGAGACTATGCCTGCATCATCTTTATCACTATCACAGACTTCAGTCGCTTTTATATGGAGTTGGATGCGAATAATGAAGGTGTCGAATGCTTACGACTGCTGAATGAGATCATATCCGATTTCGACGAGGTCAGCAAATCATTTCATTCTAGAAAAAGTGTTTCATTCGGCCCTTGAAACATTAAGCATGAGGCTGAGCGAAGCGCGTGGGCACCGCCCATACCAGGACGAGTTACTGGCCGCACTTAGCCGATATCGGCGCTGCGCTTAATTATGGAAGTTCAACTTGAAAATGCTCGATTGTAGTATTGGCAGAATCTACTTCCAACTCACTTTATTGAAAAGAAGTGTTTCGGCCACCCATTTGAAATGAAACATTAGGCACACATCGACTCCGCCCAACTTCGGACGAGTTAGCGGCAGTAGCTCGGTCGTTGCGCATAGTTCAGGACGTCTGACTGATACATGCTTGATTGTTTCTTGTATAATCTATCTTGGAGGCGATTCCGTCAGATGTGCTTGTGCTGCTCCTGAAATCTCAGCAGTACTACTATAAGCAACTCTAAAGTCAACTCTAAATTAATTCTGATTTTTACACCTTTCTAAATGATTTTTGAGAAGGCTTAGAAGTTGGAACCTATGTTTATTTTTATCAAGATTGATTTCAGCTGCTCGATAGAGACGAATTTAAGTGTATAGAGAAAATAAAGACGATCTCAACGACATACATGGCCGCAAGTGGTCTTGCTGGAAAGGTAGGTCCCTCCTCATTTACTGTTTCTAGAACAAATGGTTTTTGAACGCTGTCCGGCTTGGGAGGGGCATTTCGCGCTTTCGTTAGTCTTTTGCTGGTTCACGTCAATTAACAGGTTTTATTTGGGTGTGACTTGAGAACTCTTGTAAAGCTGCGAAGTAGTACATGTGAGCCACTTTGGTTACAAGAATTCGCAGGACTTTACAGGGAAGCCCCTACAAGCTTCGCTGACTATCACATTATGCCCCCACTAAGCCGGATTTTCACGTATTTTTGAAATGTCAATAAACCTCAAATGATTGACCAATTA